TATAGTTTCCCCCCCCTTTCAAATTGTATGCTCCTTGTGTCCCAATTTTGGGAGGAAGGTGGGATACAAACAAATAAATAAATAAAGATGATGATGATGATGATGATGATGATGATGATGATGATGGACAAATAAATAATAAATATATTAGTTTAAACTTATACACTTGAATATTTTTGACTGATGGTACTAAAAGCAGCTCCTGTTTTGCCTACATACCCCATTTGATCTTTAAGATCTGTTGGGTTGGTTGTTAATGGTTAAACCCAAGGCAAAGTCTTTTGTCCTGCTGCAACAATTCTGCCTTTCTAGCCATAAGTTCATTGTAGAATCTAAAACAATTGCAATGTGTAGCCAAAAGTCTTACGGGGAATTTTATTTAGCTCAAACTGAGAGGGAGCTGGCTACAAGGACTCTGTGAGACCATCCCCCACATGTATACCAAGAGTTCAGGGGATTTAAGAATTGATGCAGAGATAGAATTCTTCAATTGAAGTATTATTTATTAAAGGGGAAAATCACACAGCAATTCACACACACACACTCATTCAAGGCTTAGGAAGTCAGGGGTGAGCTTGGAAAAGAAGCAAAACTAAGGGTAATACTTACTATAAACAAGGCTTTCTCCAGGATTCAATTGCGTGAAGTGGTGTGAGACACAACTGAGAGTGTGGGTTTGAACAGAAGTTCCGGTAACTAGACTAGAGAGCACAGTGACACAGTGTCTCCCTATGTACTCTAAACTAGCGACACTGAGGGGAAAAGCCAGAGGTTTTTAAGGGCTAAAACTAGCTGCAAGGCAAAGGTGTGAGACTGCATGGGTGACATAATCCGGTCTGGCAATATTCAAGGTGAATGGGAAAGGATTAAGTTGTTAGTTGGCTCACCAGGTGAGACATCTAAACCATACTCACCCATTCTTCTAATTATGAAGGTGATGGTCCATTTGCAACTCCCACACTATCTGCCTGGCCTTTGGGATGGTTTTCCCCCCCAGTCTTCCAAGTGACCTAGGTATGACCTGCCTGCCATTGTCCAGGTGGCACTTGGGGTCCATTACAGTGTACATCTGGGATCATGTGGAATTTATACACACACTAAAATTCAGGAAAATGCACTTTTGGTAACAAATGAATAGACATTAAATCTTTAGACATCATATTGATGATCTTAGGATTTAATTTGTACTCCCCGTGATTGTTTTTACAATATTTAAATCAGTATTTTCAATACTTATATGTTGTTTTTGCATACTGATTTTCCAGACTAACAAGGCAGTGTCTTTGAATTGTATTATAGAGAGTATGTCTCTGTATATTTGGTGTAGTGGTTTGAGTGTCAGACTACGACTCTGGAGACCAGGGTTTGATTCTCAGCTCAGCCATGAAACTCACTGGGTGGGTGACCTTGGGCCAGGTTCATGTTCTCAGCCTTAGGGGAAGGCAATGACAAACCTTCTCTGAACACATTTTGCCAAGAAACCCCTCCCCATCCCCATGATAGGGTTGCAGTAAGTCAGAAACACTTGAAGGTAACTACCACCAATACTTTTTTTCCCCCAGCTATAAAATTTGTTTTAGACATTTAGATTGCCCTTTAACAAAGCTACCACAGCAGTTTATAATTTTAAAAAGCCTCATGGTTTACAATAGCAATAAACTAACACTTTAAAATATCAGTTGAAAAAACAAGGAATTAAAAATTATGAAGCACTTTAATGTCTCCATCAGATTCACAGATCAGTTTTTTTAAGGGCATTGTCAAAATCCTAAATTAATCAAATAGGATCAAATACAAATGGCACTGGTAAATTTTGACTACCCTCTCAAAGGAAGGGAGAAGGTGTGCTAATCTGACTTGAGAAAGAAAAAGAAAGTTTATGGGCCCCAATCATTGTCCACCATGAACAGATCTTCATATCCTTCAACAGTAGAGTGGAGGTGGTGATATCCAGAAGGGAACAAAATTCCTCCAGACTGATTTCCAGTCCCACTAAATTGTGGTGGACAAAATGCAATGCTCCAGATGTTCTTTGATTACAACTCCCAGAGTTCCCCACCAATAATTTTGTTAACTTGGAAATTGAACTCCAACAACTTCTGGAGGGCAACACTTTGCCCACCCTTGAACTAAAGTGATCTTCATCTAAATGTACTTTTCTCCATATGCATCACTTACTGGGTCAGGAGCTATGGCCCTTCATCAAATGTTGTACAGAAATGTGGATGGTACTACACATGCAAATATACTTCCAAACAGTTGTTGTTGTTGTTGTTGTTGTTGTTGTTGTTGTTGTTGTTGTGTGCCTTCAAGTCATTTCCAACTTATGGTGACCCAAAAGTGACCATATCATGGGGGTTTCTTGGCAAGATTTGTTCAGAAGAGGATTGCCATTGCCTTCCTCCAAGGCTGAGAGCATGTGACTTGCCCAAGGTCACCTAGTGGGTTTCATGACAGAGGGGGGAATTGAACCCTGGTCTCCAGAGTTGTTATTCAACACTCAAACCAAACATGCATCTCACCAAAACATCTGGACAAATATTTGAAAGACAGCAGAGGGACTCGGCACAAACTGAAATGTTTGAATGAACAAACATTTGTGGCTCATACTTCTTCCAGTGAATGGGAGAGACTCCGTCTGTCTTCACAACAACCACTGTGCACAAGAGGTTGCACTGAGAGAAAGTGAGTGGTCCAAGTCATTTTGTGAGCATAGCACAGAAAAGTTCTGAGTCTAGGTGTCCTGGTCAAAATTCACTGGATTACACTGACTCTCCTGATAGGTCTCTGAAGCCATGGATTATATATGATATACTCCAAAAAGGATTTCTGTTCTAGAGAGCAGAATAGCAAAATGATTTAAAGGATTTCCCTGCATTTACAGGCATGACGTCATCTATCTCAGCTCTCTCCATTTCCACTGCTCTGTTTCTCTTTTTCTCTCTATATGCAAACAGAGTGGTATTTACCATGGCAACTAATCCATTGCTATCAAGAAGTCTCTGGAAAATGCATAATAGATGCTGAACTTTGTATCTGAGCACCATTAGATATAGCTTGAACAATCCTGAAATACAAGGGTATCTAAAAATAGGATATCTTTAAGTATGTGAAGGTTATTGCTCCCATATAGTGAATATATAGTAGCCACTCCTGTGTATATGTATTTTAATTTATTTATAACATTTCATAGATGTTCTGCTTTTGAAGAAGTGTGGAACATAGCAATTTGCAGAAAAAACATGACTAGTAATCAGACAAAAATATGAAAAACAATTGAATGCGGAAAGCCTAAATGCATTAAAGCTATAACTTGTTTTAGAGATAAGAGCCATATTTGTAAACACTATATATACTCATATACAAGTCTAGAAATTTTAGATTAATAATTGATCCAAAAAAACTGAGTTGACTTATGTATGAGTCAACGTAAATATTGTACTTTAATTCATATATATATATATATATATATATATATATATACGAACTATCCTCTGGTGAAGGGCAAGAATGTAAATTTGTCCTAGAAGCACTGACTCTCCCTTACTCTCTCATTAATCCAGCCTTTAGTGTGAGCACAAACAGTTTATGCCAGCTGGAATTTTGTAAGTTCTTTGGCACCATTTTTCTTTGTTTCATCCTTTAGCTCCTTTGTTACATGTCCTAAGTGTTACCCTTGACTTATCCACAAGTCATATCAAATTCCATAATTTTGGACCCCAACCTGCCCTCGACTTATAAATGGGGTCAACTTATTGTCGAGCATATACAGTAGGTAACACTACCTATTTACACATGCCTTCCAAAATGAATATATTTTATGTGCCCTTTCACTTAAATGCAAGGAGTGCCACACAGTTCTGTGAGACCAGGGGTCGCCAACCTACGACCCACGGACCGGATGCAGCCCGTGGAGGCCTTCGGACTGGCCTCTGCCCGGTCCTGCCGCCGCCGCGCCACCGCCGCTGACGCCTTTTGCGCCCCGGAGGAGCCCCGTGGCGGCACTGGGATTCTTGGAGGCCCGGCGCTGCCGAGGGAAGTCTCCTGGGGGGCCCCCACGGCAGCGCTGGGCCTCTCGGAGGCCCGATGCTGCCAAGGGAAACCTCCTGGGGGCCCCCCATGGCGGCACTGGGCCTCTTGGAGGCCCAGAACGGCCAAGGGAGCCCTCCTGGGAAGCCCCCGCTGTTGTGCGCATGCATGCGCGATACATGAGGGGCAGCTGCCATTTTGTTTTTCAAAATGGAGGCACGCGTGCGCAGGGGGTCCAAGCATGCATGCGCGCACAAGCACGCACACGCACCGGCCCCCAGCACCATTTCCCCGCCTCCTGGCCTGTCGGCAAAAAAAGTTGCTGACCCCTGTGTTAGATTGTAGACTATTGGTAGGTTATTCTGCAGTAATGGTGCAAGAACAGAGAAAGTCCTTCTTCATGCTCTCATTATTAATCAGATGTCATAGCGTGGACTTTCTGGAAATGTATTCACGGTGGTGTTGAGCTATTTTACTTCCTTCCATACAGAGCAAAAGAGAAGCTAATATTTCTATGGGACCTATAGCCATAGGTTGATTGGCTGCAGCTGCTCTTTTCCACTCTTCAGGGCAGTTTTATTGTGTTTTACAAATAAATTGTGCTTTAAAACAAAAATAGCAACTGCAACAATAACAGAAGGGACCAAACAGGAGAATGTATGAACATTCATGATATACTCCTTTTTCTTAAAAGCATAACCCATTCATACAATATTACAAACTGTTCTGGAAAGGGAGCAGAGAACAAATTACATATTTCTGCCAGCCAGCTGGCTGTCAGTGATCAGTGCCTAGTTTCATAGTTGGTCAGCATACAATCAAAGGTGTGGGCAGCCAATTCTGTAGCAAAGCACATAGGATCAGCAGAGACAGGAGAAAACTTGGTTTATCTAGAGTTCTAGACAGTAGAAAAACTGCTCTGACTGCTGTTTGCTTGTACATTTTCTAGCTATGTAATTATGTTGAAAGGAGCCAGTGTGGCATAGTGGTTTGAGTGTTGGACTACGACTCTGGAGACCAGGGTTTGATTCCTAGTTTAGCCATGGAAATCCACTGGCTAACCTTGGGCAAGTCACACTTTCTCAGCCTCAGAGGAAGGCAATATCATACCTCCTCTGAACAAATCTTGCCAAGAAAATCCAATGATAGGATTTTTGCAAGTCAGAAATGATTTTTGTGGCCGGCATTTTCAGAGAATGAATATCTTGTCCCAGAAATTGACAATAGGATTCTGGACTGGTTTGATGGCTTTAATTTTAATGTGACAAAACCAGAATGGATCAAGATATCCCTGAGATGGATGGATGGGGAAGTTTGGCTGGGGACACAATTGAGGGTAGGCAGAAAGCTTATTGCTTTGGGTGCGAGGAGATACTTTCTCTCAAGTTGCGAGAGGAAATGCAGATTACTTGGGAGAGGGAAGGAGTACTTTAGATTTGATGGTTTTATTTACCTGGATGTCCACATGCCTTGGGAACACATTCTGCTTTTCTTGGGAATCTGACCTAATGTTCCTGAAAGTTGATCAGTCCATCAAAACATACTATCTCCAGATATGAGCTATGAAAATATGAGGACCCCAAAATACAGTGCAGGATAAGCAGTCATGCTTAACAGACCTTAGAAATTTAATTTAAAACAACAACAACATGTTTTTGCTTGGCTGTGGGATGAAGCCAGTGCTGGTGCCAACTGAATTTTCAAGGGGAAGGCATTTTACGAACAAGTGTCACAGCAGAAAAGGCCCTTTGCTGTATCCTCCCACAGTATATCCCTCTTATAGGTGGAAAGCAGAGGAAGACCCTTCCCGCAGGTGTCAGTCTTTGGACAAGCATATATATATATATAGAGGTACTCAAGGCAAACACACACACATACACCCTTCCAAATATCAAGGTCACAAACCATTTTGGGCTTTGAATGTTATCACCAACATCTTGAATTTCCAGACCAGAAACGTACTGACAGCCAGTATGACTAGAAGCCATTGATAGCTTAATCCTCCATGAATATGTGTAATCCCCTTTGAAAGCCATCTGTTAATGACTATCTCAAGATTCTGTAGTGAGTAGTTCCAGATTTTAACTAGGCACTGTGTGAAGAAATTGGAATAGCTAGTCACAGCTCAATGTCCTTCACACAACGTTTTCAGTAAAAGGCTTAGTTTTTAGTGGATTTTATCTTTTAACCGGTTTTTATGGTTGTCACAATATATTTCAAGGGCTGGCTTTTATGTTTAATATTCTTTTTTTTAAAAAATGACCAGAGGTTGCATAGCAACATTACTTGGTAGATTACACTCTTTGGACAGTAAGAAGAAAGACAAATGAGAATTGGAAAGGACCCAGGGATTTTGCCCAGTCCTCTGCTTGAATTTGGCCGATGTGATCTGCATTTGAAAGATCTCCAACTTGGCAAGATATAGAAGGCAAGATTCACTAGAAAAGACAATAATGCTAGGGAAGGTAGAGGGCAGCAGAAAGAGAGGAAGACCATATGCCAGATGGATAGACTCAATCAGAGAGATCACAGGCATGACTTTTCAGGAGCTGAGCAGAGCAGTTGAGGATAGAAGATCTTGGAGATGTCTTGTCCACAGGGTCACCATGAACTGGGGCTGATTTGAGGGCAGCTTACAACAATAACAAACCTTGTAATGGCATTATTTAGAAATTAGGCTGGAAGGGGAAGGAGTTTTAATTTCTTGAGGAGTCCCTTGTCAAAACTCCTTCTTGGCAGCCCCCTCCTTCAGTGGTGGACCTCTTGGATGAAACAGAAGTGGAAGTGCTCCAGTTAGTACCAGCTCCATCTTGAGCAGGGGTAGGCAACCTTTCCCCTTTAAGGGCCGAGGGACTTCAGCTCCCAGAAGCCTCAGCCATGTTGGCCAATAGTCCCATGTTGGCCATTAGCTCCTGGGATTCTGGGAGCTGAAGTCCCTCGGCCCTTAAAGGGGAAAGGTTGCCTACCCCTGATCTTGAGGGTAGAAGGTTGGAATAAGGTTATACAGCCCAACAACAAGATGGAGGGGAGGAACACCTTGATCAAACTCTGGAGAGCCACAGAGGCAATGCCAGAGCTTAGGGAGTTAGGAGATTGCATTCTCTCTCATCACGAGACATTGCAGAGCCACACATCCTGATGTACCTCCCCTAAAAATGTTTTGTCTCTAAATGCCCCTGAATACTCTTTTTGGATCCCCTTTGATGAGAAGCCTTTTTTAAAACAACAGGCAGGGGCATCACTAGGAGGCTGTAAGGTGCGGACCACACTAGGTGACACCCCAATGAGGGGCAATGCCACTGCTCCCCAAACATCTGCCTTTGGACAGAAACAGGCTGTGGTGTTCACCTGAGCCAGTTTAAAATGTTGGACCTCAGCAGAAGAGATGGTGTGAGTGGGGCGAGACTTGATGGGAGGAGAAATGAGAGGCCCCCATTTTTTTAAATTAAAAAAATTAAATTATGTTAATTTTTTTTTAAAAAAACACATCTTACCAAATTTTTACTATGTACATGGGGGGAGATGACACTGTGAGTTACTGCACCAGGTGACATCAACTGTAATGCCACTGACAAGTGGCCCAGAAGTCACACCTTGTAGACTGCATTTGGGATGCATTTGTAGGCAAAGGATACAGTCCGGAAGGCCCTGGGGCTGCACTCTACCCATTCCCCATCTTTTGCCGAGGAAGATACCTGTACCAAATCTTCAAATATCGTAAACTGGCCTCTTGAGGAGTGGGACATCCATGTTGGGAAGTCTCCTCTGAAGATTTCCTTACCCTGTTTACCAGCTTGAAAGAGCATCAGTGGGCAGATCATGAAGCTGTTGGTCTGAGTCCTACTGGCTGATCCTGATGCAGCCATTCTGCAGCATTTGCTTTCGTTAACATCAGAGGTGTGCAACGTCCATCTTGTGGACTGCATGCCTTCCAATGAAAAGTAATGTTTCTTTGCCCTAGAAGTCTTTAGGAATTATAGTTTGTTGTTGTGTGCCTTCAAGTAGTTTCCAATCTACGGTGACTATAAGTTGACCCTATCTCAGGGTTTTCTTGGCAAGAAGAAGACCTGGTGGTGCAGGGGTTAAATGCCAGTATTGCAGCCACAATGTTGTGAGTTTGATCCTGCAGGGCTCCAAGTTGACTCAGCCTTCCATCCTTTTGTAGGTTAGTAAAATGAGTACCCAGCTTGTTGGGGGCAATTGGCTTACACCTTGTAAACTGCTTAGATTAGGGGTAGGCAACCTCCCCTTTAAGGGCCGAGGGACTTCAGCTCCCAGAATCCCAGGAGCTATTGGCCAACATGGGACTATTGGCCAACATGACTGAGGCTTCTGGGAGCTGAAGTCCCTCGGCCCTTAAAGGGGAAAGGTTGCCTACCCCTGGCTTAGATAGTGCTTAGTTCATGATGAAGCGGTATAGAAATGTAAGGTGTTAAATGCTATAAGTTTCTTCAGAGGGGGGTTGTCTTTACGTTTCTCGAAGGCTGAGAGAGTGACTTGTCAAAGGTCACCCAGTGGGTTTGCAGGGCTAAGCGGGGATTCAAACCCTGCTCTCCATAACCTTAGTCCAACACTTAAACTCCTATACCAGGGGTAGGCAACCTAAGGCCCGGGGGCCGGATGCGCCCCCCCGAGGCCTTTGGACCAGCCCCAGGCCAGTCCTGCTGCCGCCGCCACCGCCCCCCGATGCCCCTCGCTGCTGCCGCTGCCCACCATGATAATATTGATTATTGTTGTTATTACTTGTTCTTGGGGTTTTCTTGGCAAAATTTCCACAGGGGTTTTGCCATGGCTTTTCTGGGGCTGAGAGAGTGTGCATGCATATTTTTAATTATTTATTTATTTATTTATTTATTTATTTATTTATGGTGCTTCAGCCCCCCAATTGTCTGAGGGACAGCAACCTGGCCCTCGGCTCAAAAAGGTTGCCTACCCCTGTCCTATACCATACTGGCTCTTAGGAATAATAGTAATGCAATTGAACCAGCTTGCAGTGGGGGACCCCATCCCCTCAAATAAAAACTAAAAGTGGATTTCCAGTCATGCCTAGTTTTTATTTTTAATTTATTTTTATTTTTTAAATTGCATGCTTTTAGACCTGATGCAGTCCACAGTGGGACTTTGAGAGTGAAGCTGGCTGAAAGTTGCCCACCTCTACCTAACATGTTCAAATTCATCTTTCCTGTTCTTGCTTTCCTAAGAACAATTGACCGGTCTTTATGAGATCTGAAGAGTAACAACTGACCTGAGAGAAACAGAACAGAGTAGTGTGCTTAAAGTGTTGGAACTGGGAGTTGTTGTGTGCTTTCAAGCTGTTTCCAACTTATGGTGGCCAGTATCATGTTCAAATCTCTGCTTGGTTATGGGATCTACCATGTGACCTTGGGCCATCACAATCTTTCAGCAAACCTACCTTACAGGGCTGTTGTTTGGATTAATAGGGAGAGGGAAATAATGTGAAGTGGACATATATATTCCTTGTTCAGTACAAATAAAATAACAACAATAAAACAGTGCCCTCGAGCCAAGTGTGGGCTTGCCATCTGTGGTTTGAGCTTCTGCAGACGGCAAGCCCACTCAGCGGCACAAGTAGGAGTACACACTCATTGAAAACAATGGGACTTAAAGTCCCACATTTTTTACTATCCATGGGAGGATCCAGAACAGATCTCCTATGGGTAGCAAGGGTGGACTGTATTAGTATTTTGTCATGTACGGAAAATTCCAGTATGTAGAGAGATCGTGTAGCACTTTGACTGAAAGAAAGACATTGGCAGCATAGCTTTTGCAGACTAAAGTCTACTTCCTCAGATGCATTTAATCTGCATGATCCCAATGTCTCCAGTTGTATTGAAGGCTTCAGGGACCATGCACAACAAATGTATCTGAGGAGATAGACTTTAGTCTACGAAAGCTGTGCTGCCAACGTCTTTCTTTCAGAGTGCTACAAGATCTCTCTACATACTGATTCTTCAGGCACTGCCAGTGATATTCTTATCCCATTTTTTTGCCATCAGATTTAACCTCACAGTCTTGTACCTCA